TTGGCGTATCCAGGATTTTGGTTTAGGGGGGGCTGTTCTAACAAAAAGTGCTGATAAAAAAAAAGCGCTGCAGGCGAAAAAAATTGCCACGCCCAATTTTTGTAAGGAGTTTACCTGTAACATACCCAAACGTTACGCGACTATTCTTTTTTGCGGGGCTAAAATAGTAATTTTTTGTGCGACCAGCCATCAAAAAGTAGCATTTTGTGGCCCTGCAGGCCGGAAAGTATCAAATTTCGCCCTCAAATCAGGGCGGAAATAGCTCCTATGCGACCCTGTAGTAGATATAGATAATTCATAGAAAAACCTTATTGGGATATTGTGAAATAAACTTTATTTCTATTAAGGAAAATTCAACAAAGTACGTACAGTGGGAATCATTGCAATTGGCACATACTCTTTCAACGTCCCTCGTATTAAGTCAAAATTCTAACCAATAAATCTATTCAGTGCAGCGGTGTACGTAATATTTTTATCATTTTAATCAACAAAATAACACTATAACATTACCCCGCAAGAGCGTAACATGTAACATACCAAATCAACATAGAAATCAAGAACCAAACTTAACACAAAATCATGAATTGCTAAGCCCAAATATTTTCTTCCTTTAAAAGCTTATCAAAATCATTATGTTCACCACTGATTTATGAATTTGACACGATTTTGATATTACCTGTGTGTCAAAGAAGTCAAATTTTGACGCATTATGGGGGATGTTTATAAGGTGTATGCCAATTGCAATGATTCTCACTGTACATAAACTGCACCATAAAAAATAGATATTGAGAATATTTACGAATAATAATGGAAAGTACGGTATGCAGAATAATTATTATGAAAGGGAAAATTGAATAATGGTTATAATATATAAAATATTCTCTTGAAATAGTATATTACATACCGAGGTGGAAAGTGTTTCATTACTGTCGAGAGATCAGTTAGTTAACTGAGACGCGAAGCGTCGAAGTTAACTATAATCTCGAGATAGGAATGAAACTTCCTACCGAGGTTTGTATACTATTTTATTTACAACAATTACAAACCTCATAATTTCGACTAAATACTAAAAAAATTTTTAAAAATTTGTTGACAAGTTCTGACTCATCTAAAAAAACGCTTGACATGCAGGACTCGTCTTAAACATTTTAGGAAATGAGAACTTACTTTCCACCCGGGTGGAAAGTGAGCACTTTCCACCCGGGACCACTTTCCACCCGGGTGGAAAGTAAAATTCAAAAAAGTGTCACTTTCAAACTTTTGAAAAGTCAGAAATGTCAACATTACGTATGTGGTTGTAAATAAAATAGTATATTACAATCCGAGACGGGAAATGCTTCATTACTGGTCGAGAGGTTTTATATAAACTGAACCTCGAGACAGCAATGAAGTTTCCCGTCGAGGGTTGTATACTATTTTATTTTTAACCATAATTTCTTGAAAAAAAAAAAATTCGGGGCAACCAAATGAGGTCGGCAAATGAAGAGGTAAATGAGAACGGGAAATATTTCCCAGCTCCATTTTCCGTCCGTGGAGGGGAAATGAGGACGGAAAAAATTTCCCGTCATCACTTCCCGTCCTGGGACAGGTAATGGAGCAGGAAAATGAAAAGATAGAAATGTGACATTTTCAAAGTTTTGAAAAGTCAGTAATGACAACATTTCATATATGGTTAAAAATAAAAATAGTTTAGACATGCCTTGGGGGGGGGGGGGGGGGCTGCAGCCCGGCAGCCCCCCCCCTGGATACGCCTATGAGTTCAGCAAACCAGTCAGAACGAATTTCATTGGTTGAAAACAGTCAGAAACAGTCAGAAAACTAGTTTCAACCAATGAAATTCACTCTGACTGGTTTGTGATTTCTGCAGAAACAGACCTATTGTTGAAGTTTGACTTCACAGACGTCATTTTTTTTGGTACTTTTTTGTCCAGTCGTGACGTGAACGTACAAAAAAGTACTTTTTCTACTGACGTTTCATAATAGCAACTTTTCGATTGTCATTTCAGTTTTGAAACGACATTCTTTTAGGCACTGAGTGCGTGAAAGTTGCTTTTAGGCACTCAGTGCGTAAAAGTGACTTTTGAATGCGTAAAAGTGACTTATGAGTGCGTAAAAGTAATTTTTAAGCACTAGTGCCTAAAAGTGTCATTCATTATTCAGAAATAAAAAACACACTAAACACATATTTGAATTTTGTTTTGTATTTATTATGAATATTGAAAATGGAATTACTGAATTGAACGTTTGGGTTACTCAAAACAGAAGTTTGTGTTATTACCTACTTTCTAGGATTTTAATTATTGATGTCGAATTTTGAAAAGAAAATCGCATGAAAAGTGTCAGGTGTCAAGTAAAAGCAGGTAACAAAGATTTTGGGTGTAATCGACTTATTCACATGAAATAAAATTGTGTTTTTTTATTATAAAATGCCAGTAGAAAAAATCTTGTATACAATACGTTACGAAACGATGTCTTTTAGTCACTCGACGTGTTGTCCAACTCGGCTTTGCCTCGTTGGACAATTTTCACGTCGCGTGCCTAAAAGACGCTCATTTCGTAACTTATTGTATAAATAGCTATTTTCCACTGACGTTTCATAATACGCTTAAAATCTGTTTCATAATGAACTTCAATATGATACAGATTTTTCAGCCACTGAAATCGAGTTATTTTGAACATGAACAATGTTTATATAAAAATAACAGACTTTGTTTTGGAGTATTGAATTATTTCTATCAGTATTTACCAAAAGAAACAACAAAAAATTGATAAATCGGGTAAGGAATTTATGCCCAAATGACGTCTAGATCTTAATTTTCAAAATTGTCAATAGTTGTCAACAACTGTCACCAGTTGAGAAGTTTACTATTTTTGAAATATAGTATATTAAAGTATAAGTGGATATTAAGCCGGACAAAAAGGTGACGTCTCAGAAATTTAACCTTGACAACCACAAAGCCAGTAAGCACAACAATCTAATTTTATGTTTTTTTACATCTAATTCTTTTTGACAATATTGATTTCCTTGATTCCATACTCGTCTAAAATTGTCAAATATTTAGTCTCGCCAGAAAAAGTATCATTACTCCTAATAAAACAATAGGCCTGTTCGCACAGCAATCACAAACCAGTCAGAGCGAATTTCGTTGGTTGAAAAGAGTCAGAAAACTAGTTTCAACCAATGAAATTCATTCTGACTGGTTTGTGATTTCTGTGCGAACAGGCCTAATATATACTATTTTCTACTTGCGTGCGCAAAGTTATTACTTTGCGCACTCATTTGTGTGCGCAATGTTGAACTTTGCGCACGGAGACTCTTTGCGCACTCATTTTTGTTACGCATAGTTACCGCATTTATACTCGATTTTTCAATGTTTTATGGGTTTCTGGATAAACTTATGTTCAGAAAGAAGGGCCTGATGTTATTTTTGTTCCAAGAAAGGCATTCAGGTAATGTTTAAGCTTTTTTAATTTGACACTTTCCGTATAAGGAGCGAGGGAGCACATTCCTTAAGGGCGGTAAAGGCACTTTCCGCCTGTGTTAGGTACAAAATTTTACCTATGAGCATCTACATCTCCAAAAAAGGGCATTGATAAAATTATTTATTGAAACAGATTAATTAATGAAATTAAATTAGATTTAGAAATTATCAAAAATCCATTTTCTGAAAAAAAAAGGATTTTTGATTATAAATATCAAATTTTACTTTACCGCACGCTATGCGGTAAAGTGCACTTTACCGCACACTTTGTAGTCCACTTTACCGCATACTATCCTGTAAAGTTAACTTTACCGCACACTATGCTGTAAAGTTAACTTTACCGCATAGTGTGCGGTAAAGTGCTACTTTCCATTTGCAAATACGTGCGGTAAAGTGCACTTTACCGCACGCTCGTAGGTAAATTAAGTTTCAATTTGGCAGGAAAAACAAACGACTTGTTCAAATTTCAAGTCAACCTCGCTAGCACAATCAATGTTGCAAATGAAGTCAAGCTGATCACTGAAAAAAGAAATTGAAAACACATTGAACTAGGAGAGAACATTACTAGTTTTGAGCATCTGGGAACATTTGAGATTAGGTACAGCTCCTCTCTGGATGCTATGCAAATCTTCGAACACTCGTAGAAAAAGTATTGTTCCTAACACTTGCGCAAAGTGTCTTTCCCGCACTCAAAGCCTATCCGAACTCCGCTTCGCGTCGTTCGTCTAACTGCTTTTTCGTGCGGGAAAGTATCACTTTGCGCCCTTGTTAGGAAAATAACTATTTTCTCTAAACGTCAAAAAAATTTCACTTTTTTAACACCTGTCAAGATGTTAGAAATTTAATGCTGCTAGGCAAATCCAGCAGGTTAATACCTTTCGAGATGGTAGAAATTTAATTTCTATGCTGCTAGGCAACCACAGCAGCAGTAAAAGTACTTCCAGTGCCGCTCGTACTTTTACTGCCGCTCAACCATTCAGTTACCCCCGAGCTCACCCCATTCGTTTGGAGAAAAAATAGCGTGTTACATACGGAGTAGAACCACTTTTTTACTACAGCATTACTGCTTCAGTACAAAAAAGTAAAGCTCCTACTACTAATACAACAATATACCATTGTTATATATTTTCAAATCCATGCATTTTAGTAGAATAGTTTAAATTTTGAAAGTTCTTTAGGCTCATCTCATCTGCTCTACAAGATTGGGACTTGATTTTTGATATTCATCGAAAAAAGAATGGGATGATTTGCTTAGGAAGTCATGGGTGAAGGTTTTTTTCCAATTTTTATTGTTCAAAACCATTCTTTATTTCTAAAAACAAAATTTACACGCTTAATTAAAGGTCGAAACAATTATCACTTAGCTTATAATAGATAAATACATGCTTTAAAACTAAATTGCACAGTAAAAATGAATAAATATTATTCAGTCACTAGCTCCTATAGCTAAATTTAAAAAAAACAGGCAGTAAAAAATGTCTTTCAAATTGGCAGTGATTTTTCAAATATTTAACACCATTAAGCTATATTTGCTCCACCATACCTAACATTGGGATTTGGTTGAGGTGCAGGTCGCTTCTTGGACCTTGAAGGTACCATAGGAGGATAATGCTGCATATTGCTAACTTTTTGCTCTCCCTTATTTTCAGTCTTACTCTTAAGCCATTCTCGAATTCTCTTACCAACCTGGTAGAAATGAAAGTAGAGCAGGAATAAAATTAAAAATGCTACTAAAAAAGACACCACACTGATGATAAGAGCTGAAACTGGATTGTAGGTGCCTTCTGGTTTTGGTATTTCGTCTGCAGGTGGTACCACTGACGAAGGTGGTTCAAGTTCATTGTAGTCATCATAGTCTTCATCTGGTGCGACAGGTACTGTGGGAGGTACCATGGGTTCGTCAGTAGCTTTTCCTGAAATTGTAATGTCAGAGCACGCACGGAATTCTTCTTGTGGGCCACATCCAACTGCACCAGTACCATTAGGGCAATTGCCCCAATTGTTACCTTGTGAAAAAAAAAAAAAACAGGTGAGTATTGAATTTTCATGAGATTAGTTTAAGTAATTACCAGCAATATATTTCCATTGCAACACGCAATGTTTGCAAGTTTTTTTGGGCAATCGATATTTCATTTCGTAAATTTTGTTGCCTTCTTTTGGGAAGTAGCGGTAGTTTTTATGATTGACGCCTTCTTGAGGTTTCACTAGTTTCAGGATGTTTTGATCCAAGCAGTCTTGATTGGTGGTTTTGAAATCTGGACAAATTCTGAATTCGAAATATCCGAAATGATTAGCTGTAAGTTCCACTCTGATGTTGATTATGCCTCCTAGGCCGTATTTTCTGACAATAAGTCCTTGACCGTAGACTCCTCCATATTCATGAGCTCGAGGTTTTCTAGCAAAGAGAGAAGTGTTTGTATTATTAACTTAATGCAGATTTTATTATTCTAACAATTGTTGTTAGAATTATGTAGTGCCCTGTTATTTTTGTATGTTATTAATGCTTAAATAAAAATGAAAGCAATAATTTGAATAATATATTGTGATAAAGGCCGGTATTAGAGTAATTTTTGAGTTTAAGATTGGCTGTGAATGCTGTGATACGTTTTAGATAATGAATATTGTAAAGTTATGTAAAGAGTTACGTTGTTTGAGTTAATTAGTGAAGTAATTAGTGTTAGAGTGTACAGTAACGTGAAATAAATTATTGTTGTGTTACTTGGACTTTGATTTTGGAATAAACGGACTTAAGATTTCTGTCACGCACTCCACAGAGCCGTGACATTGGTGTCAGGTCAGAAGTGAGATATAATTCGAAGACTGCAAAGTGAAATTTGATTGCAGAATAGTGCGAACTACTGTGGACACTAGTGTAGGTGTAGACACTAAGGGCGGGTATTATAAAACTGCTTTGACAGTTAACTTGAAGTTAACTTTTTGATTTACATGTAATTCCAGAAGTTAACTTTAAGTTAACTCTCAAAGTAGTTTTATAATACCCGCCCTAAGTGGACACTGGGACAGTTAGTCAGTAAGAGCAGTGACAATCACAGAAAAAGACTTAACCGATTGTGTAAATTACCCAGGAAGTGACTGTATAATAACCTATTTTGACTGTGATAGTGAATTTTCAAGTAAGTTCTAGAAAATTCTATTCGGAAACCAAGGGAGATATCAAATTTGTTACTTCACCGACGTGTTTGCTATATCAATCGACATTCGGAAAAGACATTTCAAGAAAATTCTAGAACATTCTTGTCATATATTTGTATATTTTTTAATTACTTTGGGTTCTTCTGGTTGGAACCCGTTAACAGACAAATTGATCGCGGTTTATATGGTGATCTAAATAAAGCCGTTTTAAGGGAATATTATCAAATTTCCACTTTTGATGATATAATTTGTAGACTAAAGAATGCTGAATATGTCCCTCTCCTGCAGCTAACTGGATCTGTAACATACACTGGACGAGCGGAGCTCTCGGCTCTGTACATTCAATACGCCTTTTGGACGGTTTTGCTTCAGGCGCCTCCCTTATGGGTTCAAAAGCGCATCAGAAGTTTTTCAGAAAAAAATGGCCGAATGTTTTGAAGGTATAGATGGTGTAGAAATTTATATTGACTACATATTAATTTGGGGTGAATTAAGGGCGATGCACGATGAACAATTAAAAAGGGTTTTGCAAAGGGCTACAGATTTAAATATAAAATTTAATAAAGACAAATGCAAAATTGGAATCGAAAAAATTCAATATTTAGGGCATATAATAAGTAAAGATAGTGTTGAACCTCATTAAAATAAAGTTAAAGTAACGTTGAAGAATTACAAAGCTTCTTAGGCATTGCTAATTATTTGAGAAAATTTATTCCAAATTTTTCGGAAATCACTGTTCCATTAAGAAATCTTCTTGGAAAAAAGTTAATTTTTAAGTGGGAGCACGAACAACAAAAAAGTTTTAATTTATTAAAAGATATGTTCCGAAAAAGAGTTGATGAGAATAGTTTTTGAGTGTAAGTTATTTCACCATCAATATATTTTTGGAAAGGAAGTAGGTAGCTGTAGAGTCAGATAATAAGCCGTTAGTGCATATTTTTTAAAAACCTGTAATAAAATGTCCTATTAGAATTCAACAAATGCTTCTAGAATTACAAGGATATTATTTAAAAATGTAACTTTTAAGACTGGGAAGGCAAGTGTACATAGCCGATGCTCTCTCTAAAATAGTTTTTAATGATAAGTCTGCAAATGAAGTTATTTTTTGTGATTATGAATTACAAGGTAATTTTTTAAAGGATAATCTTCCTATAAGTCAAAATCAATTAAACATTTTTAAACAAGAAACCAAGAATTATTTAACTTTGCAGACAATAGTAAAGTAGGTACCTATGTTCAGAATGTTGGCCTTATTTCAGATCAAAATGTTTTGATGACTCCAAACTTTTTTGCACATCAGGAACGAAATTGTATTTTTTGTTGATTTGTTGTTAAGAGGCTCCTCTATTATTGTTCTAAAGAATTTAAGAGCCAAAATGCTATCACTAATTCATCAATTCACATGGGTATCACTAAAAGTGAATTAAGAGCTGATGGAATTTTATACTGTTCAGGAATGAACAGAGACATAGAGCAAACTGTATTATCTTGTAACACATGCGTTAGATTTTCAAAAAATAATTCCAAATTACCTCTAAATCCGCATGAAATACCTGATTATCTATGGCATAAGGTTGGTAATTGATATTTTTCAGTTTCAAAAATGTAACTACCTCATATTAATTAATTAGGTACTTTTCAAAATTTGTAGAAATTAGAAAGCTTTCTTCAACAAGTCGCTGCATTGTTGAGAATTTGAAGGATATTTTTTTCTATTCATGGTGTACCAGGCATTATTTCCTCAGATAATGCACCAAATTTTATAAGTAGGGAATTTTGCGAATTTTCTTAAATGTGAGACTTTCAACATGAAACATCAAGTCCATTGTATCTTCAGACGAACGGTATGATAGAGCGATGTATACAAACCATAAAAAATGTTTATTTGAAAAAACAGATGTAAAAAGGGCCCTATTAGAATATCGAAATACTCCAATTTCTAACTTAATTCCTAATTCCATCACCTTCTGAACTTATGTTCAATAGAAAAATAAAGGGATTTTTACCAGTTTCAAAGCAGTGATTAAAACATAAAATAATAAATTTCAAAATTCATAAGCAGCACTTGCACCAGACTTGCCCACAAGACAGCAAGTCCAAAAAGAGTATTTTGATAGATCTACAAAAAACCACCAACCTTTTAATATTGGTCGTGTATTGGTCAAAAAGTATATATAAAAAATGGCGACATTTGGCAGCCAGATGAAATTTTGAGAAAAATTAATTATTTTTCATAGAAAAAGTCGCGCATAATACCTGTAACTTTTTAATTAGGTACCTACCTTGTATACGAAAAAATGGCCTTGATGAAAGTTGCTCAGTACCTAAATTATTTTCCACATTTCTACCTGGACAAATTGTTTCTGTCACTTCTGGTTTGTTTGCTATCCAGACCAACTTTGTTTTTTCAAATGAAACACCCTGTGTGGGATTGCCTATTTGGATTCTACGTAAAATTCTGAGTAGATTTCATGTGATATACCCTATACCTAAGTTCAACTGTTTTGGAAATATTGAAAGTTGAAAATTAACTTCTTTGCAACTTTGATTGATAGCGTGTAAAACCTAAATGGTTAATTTTAGAGGAAAACCGATTTCACATTCCTATCTTAGATTTTCATAAACTACTTTGAATTTATTCGGAGATTGAATTTAATTGAAATTCTTAATCATAGAATAAATTCAAAGTTGGTGTCAAATGATATGAAAATCTAAGATAGGAATGTGAAATCGGTTTTCCTCCAAAATTAACCGTTCAGGTTTTACAGCCTGTCAAAGGTGCAAAAAGTCAATTTTCAATTGTCAATATTTCCAAAACAGTTGAACTTAGGGATAGGGTATACCGGGTGTCTACGAGATCAGTTTCGCGCTGGCATTTGCTGGTTTTTTTTTCGATGGCAAAGATTTTTGGTATGGAGTGTAGGTTTGAGCAATGTCATCTTTTGACATATGTGTCAATGTTTAGTAACTTCCGGTTTGACCGGAAATGGTCCTCCTAACTGCGTAATTTTGAATAGCATCCCAATAATTTTTTCGCATTTTTGGTATCTGCGGAACATGATGTGTACGAAAACGTCAAATTTGAACATTTTTGAAGAAATTTTAGAACTCTGGATGAATGTTATTTTTGAACAGAAAGTGACGGAGCAGTCTTAAAATTGTTATTTTCAACCCACACAATCGTAGAAAAATGCGAGTGCCAAGATGTTATCTTTTGCTTGCTCTCCAAACGCATCCAAAGTTGGAAAAATCACATTTTGCGTGATAACTCAATGAAATCAGTGAAATCACCCAACTTTCACAACAAGAGTTTTTTACCTTTTTCAAAATAAAACCAACTATGCATTGAAACTTTTCATTTATGTTAGTTTTTAATTATTTTCTTATTATTTTTATAATGCACTACTATAAATGATAAAACTACTTATAAATGAACCCCTGTATGAAGAACGCTTTTCAAAAGGAGCTGGTGCTTTTTTTTTTTCTTGACAAGCCATTGACAAGATCTGTGGGCAACATATGTTTATTTGTCATTGTTTGACATCTCGAGAATTTGTAAATACAAAGTTTGAATACAGGGGTTTATTTATCAGTAGTTTTATCAGTTATAGTAATACATAGTAAAAATATTGGAAAAATAATTAAAAACTGGATGAATAAAAAGTTTTAATGCATAGTTGGTTTTATTTTGAAAAAAGTAAAAAACATTTGTTATGAAAGTCGGGTGATTTCACTGATTTCATTGAGTTATCAAGTAAAATGTGATTTTTTTAGCTTTGGAAGCATTTGGAGAACAAGCATAGGATAATAACTTGGCATTCGCAATTTTTACGATTGTGTTGGTTGAAAATAACAATTTTAAGACCGCTCCGTCACTTTCTGTTCAAAAATAACTTTTCATCCAGAGTTCTAAAATTTCTTCAAAAATGTTCAAATTTGACGTTTTCGTACACATCATGATCCGCAGATACCAAAAATGCAGGGTTGCCAGATGGTTATAACTAATTTCCCCCAAAGGATTTCAAAAATACCCCAAAAATCATTGTTTTGTCAACTAAAATCCCCCAAATAAATATAGATTTATTCTCGACTCATAATTGCAAAAAAAAAAGATAAATACGTTGAATATTTTAAAATAAAACTCATACCCTTACCACTTTTTTATTTGTTTATATGTATTTTTCTAATCCCAAAAATAAAATGACAATTGACAAATGACAAATGAAATAAAATGTTGTGACT